ATTATGCGTGAACGCCCCCCAAGAACACCTCAACGCCCCCCTTTCAAAAATATTGCTTCCAGCGCCCCCCGATGTTCTCTGAACGCCCCCTGGGGGGCGTTACCGCCCCCGTTGAGAACCAGTGATCTAGATCCTCTGTCTCGAGCTAGTTAACCTTCTAGAGCCTTCTAGAGTACCCTGGAACCATGGGAAACTCTGAAAGAATACGCCCATTGGCTACAAATCAATATATGATTGGTTGATCAAACTGTCAGTCCAAACGTACGCTCTCATTCAGTGCAACGGCCAGGGCATTCGATCAAGGATGTAGAATACCTTGGTTGAAGGATATTCTACCCAGAGACCCAGAACAAGATCTGATTGGTTGCTTTCTTTTCTATCACAAAACCACTGAAATGCGTAGTGCATGGTCCGAGAAGGACAAACAAATCAACGTACACTGTAATATTACAGATCAACAATACAGATACGATTCTCATTTATTCATTTTATTTACATTTTACTTATATAATTAAATCGATTATTTTGCTTGTTTTATCTGAGTGTTCCTGGGTATTCTCTGAATACCTTGAAGGCTCTGACGGTACGCCACTGGTGTAATGTATGTGAGTGTTTGTCTATATAGCTGAAGGATGGGCCTTGGATGTTCTTTAAATGTGTGTTCATGGTTTTTGCTTATAATTATGTTTCTATATGTCATACGTGTGAGATTTTCTACTTGCATTTATCTGTATGTGGGAGTGAGTTGAATTTGTCTGTGTGTGTGTGTTGAATATGTGTATCCTCAGGAGGATATTGTGCGTGCATGCGCCTGTTTAATTTGTGCGGGGCAGGCGGTGCAGCCAATATAGCGTTACCTCGCTATTCCCTCAACAAATCATATTCACTTGTGATCTCAATAAATTGGTGTCAGAGTGCAGGAAAAAATGATGTAGTGTGAATATGAAACATCAAGCTCATTCTGCTGTGGGCTCGCATGCAAACCTAATACACCAGAAAGAAAATCAGCATATTGTGACAGCTGGAAGGGGGATCAATTCCTAATGTTATGAATTGATAAAATACTTTTAATTACATTTATTACCTCAGTACACATTTTCCTGATGAGTTCATGGTCTCAATCACTTATTCCAAGTCGTCTCTAATACATCACAATATTCATTTTGTATAAAATGGTCCCATTAAGAGAAAAAAGACAATAAAGCATGGCATGTTTTAGGGTGACCATGTGATTGACAAGTTGCTTTAGAGTAGTACAGTGATCACTATGTTTTGTAGGCTGTACTGGAAATTAGCATCGCAAGGTAAATCAATGGATTTTTCCATTTGATTTCGGAATATTGTGGAAAAGGCATTGTCTACATGCTGCTTTGTCAGAAGAACTGCTATCAACAAAGATATCTCAAATCCAATCATCTAATCTAACATGAGTTTTGTGGCCAGCACACCTTTATGATTCTTAAAACGTTAGTTCAGCAGGATAATCTCAATCATCAGAAGTACAAAGCTACTGTTAGGCTATTAAGAAACTACTTCACGGTCACATGGGCATCACCACCGCTAGGCTAAAGGCAAACTTGTTTCAGCGCGATAACGTTTAGTAGATTCTAAGTTAGTCACTTGTTAGTATCTGTCCTTTTTATGACACATTATCTCATAGACTAAAACTTGAAAATCTCTTCAGTTTGTGAACCACATACAGTTCAGGCTTCTAAACAAATACACGTTTAAAAAAAAATGTAGATTCGAGACAAGAGAACTGGAAGTGGTGAATCGCCGGGTTTTAGTGTACTAAATCCTGCACCACTCTGTGTGTGTTTTATGAGGAACACATAATGGTTTAAAAATGTCCACTAACCAATGAGTGATGTCACATGGAAGGGGGAGAGTTGGTAACACCACTAGCCTCGGAGCTATGGAATTCTGGGAGGAGGTTTTCAAGCCTGGGTGGGAACAATGATGGCGGGGAACGTCCAGAACCAGAAATATTAGTAATGTTAGCTAGCTCGCTACTCTGTGTTTACTTGTAGTAGCATCGTTTTCCACTTCCTAGCTTTTTTAATTCATAAGTAATTAAAATCACACCAAGTGCAAACCAGCTGTTCATATTCATACATAAGTGTTTAAGTTAATTGAAATCTGAAACTGTAGGGTGCTAAATCGCAACTTTTCTGTTCCATTAATAATGTTGCTTCAAGGAACAAGTCGGATTGCCCTTATTTATCTTATTTTTGCAGCAGCGATTAACTAAATTAAAGAAAAAGTCCTGACAGGGCATCAGTAATGAGCAGCCTGAGATTCATACAGGTTGCGAACACGTTTCCTACGGTTAGGTCAAACTAG